CACATGGCTTCATTTGCAAAGCCATTTGGAATGAATTATCAATATTTTATAAATACGTTAAGGTGGTAATAAAAGATGCATGATGTAGTGTGTAGGTAGGAAGCCCTTCTGAAAAGGAATGAAGAAATTATAGATAACCTTGACGTGTCAAAGTTATGCAGTTGGAATTGTTAAGGAGAAGGGTTTTCAGATTTTTCAAAGCAAGAAAGTAATAAGAATTCTTTAAAGGAACAATACCACATTGTTTAGGCTTAAAATCTGATTTGCCAGGAAGGAAAGTGTTTGTATCATCTCTCAGAGGGATATATTTCATCTGTGACCTCTCGATAGGCATGTTTTCAGTGCAATCCCCACTTCATCCAAGCATAACTAATAACACTGTGTCCTTTGCAGAACCTACCCAAAAATATTCACAGAAAATCCTCTTTACACCAGAAACCAGGGTTGAGTGACAGTGCAGGGATAAACCCAGCACACAATTGTACTGATGGGCAGTGGTGGAAGGGCACTTGCATCCCCATGAAGTTTCCCTTCAGGTGAGAAAAATTTCCATGGGGCAGGGTTGATTTACACTGGGTGCCACTGAATTAGAAGAAAAACTGTACAGTTTTKGTTGCTCTCATCCGAATTCTTGCCCCAACCTACTTCTGCTATGATGAGCAATGTGGTAACAAAGACTACCCACACTGTGTTTGCAAGAAGGGCTTTACAGAAGTAACCTCCACCTTTAGCCTCCAGAGACTGGAAAGAAAAAGCCTGAATCGCTTCCAAAAATTACAGGTCAAAAGGCCAAACTGGAGCGAGAGTTAAAAGAAGCTATAGAATTAAGACTACAACTGCTCAGCTGTGCTCAGGTGAAGGGAGGAGGGAGGAAGAGGGGGATTAGGGGAAGAGAAAGAGGTCTCACTCTCACACATCTCCAGATGGATACAGGAGATTTTTTTTTTTTTTTTTTTTTTTCAGCATCTCCATGACCAGATACCTAAAGTCATGCTTGGCTCATGACATGGATGCATTTACCAGGGTCTTGCATGTGAGATCAGCTTTCTATTGTTTAAGCCACATCTGAATCAAACTATGCTAAATTTCCTAGCTTGGATGTTGGGATATTTGTATAATTTGTGGGGCATTATATACCCACGCAAAACTCTTAAAGATATGCTTCCTCCTTGACCTATGGAGCAATGTCTCCTAGCTTAGGGGAACATTCACAGTTGATATTGCCATTTGGCTAGGCTGGARTAAAAATATTACATGGATCCATGTAACATTCAAGTAATTTATCGTGACTTGGAAAAACAAAAGCCTCAAGTTCAGCGCCTGTCCCCTCTGCCTTAAATGTCTTATATTTGAAAGAAATTAAGTCTGGTGCAGTATCACCTAGAATAGCAAGAACAGTTGCTGCCCTACAGTGAAATGAAGCGGAGAAAGGATAGAACAAAAGTGGGCTTTATTTGCATGGTAATAGTTAAGCCTTCTCCACTTGCTCCAAAGTGTTCTGTATATTCTGAGTTTATGTAGAAGATCCCTACCAATATATTTTTAACATTTAATTATACTAAAAAAGTGTTGAGGCTTCTGGGTTTATTGGGGAGGATGGGGAGGAGGGCAGAGAGGGGGAGTAAGCAGGGAATCCAATGAATCATTTTTAACCTACACAGAAAAAAAAACTTGCATCATCCTTATGTAAGGGGCTTTGGTTACATGAATAAAATTCTATGCTGTTAGCATTATAGCACAGATGATGCAAACGAGCACAATTAAGTAAGTCTGTATCAACCAGCGGGGGGCCTTGGTAAATACACACCAGACAATTTGTAACAGCACTCATGTTTAAACATTTTCTGGGTCTCAGAGCCCCCAGATTTGATTTAAACAAATATTCGCTGCAGTGTATACAGATAAATAAAATGAAAAAGATAGCTCTCAAATTGGCAGGGCCCAAATGTGAGATTTTGTGCATACTAAAGAAAATAATTATTTATGAAGGTAAATAAAATACAGTTGTATCCCTGCATCCCTTCTCTGTATTCAGATAACTATCACTTTTCTTGTCCCCATGATTCTTTTAGTTCTGAGATAAACAATCCTGAAGGAAAAAAAATAATGGGAGGGACAGTGGATGTACATTGTAATTTTCTGTCTAAAATGATTGGCATCTCAAAAAATGGATGTATGCAAAGCATGTTTCCCATAATTATTTTTCAGCATCCTTGAGGCAGATTTTTCTTTTTTTACATATAGGGAGAAAAGACAGCACCTCTGTTGCCACTCTATTATTACCAGTAAATAGGGACTTTTTAAAGGATGCTGCTGCACTGGGCACTCTTCCAGCTTCATGGCTGGAATCGTACATTTCCCTCCTGGGGAGATATCTTTAAATTCCAAAATGTGCTGCTAGAAGGTCTCCTTGGCACAATTAACTACCCTGAATCTGAGCTACAGAAATGAATCGACAGCAAAAGAGACCCTCTTCCACGAAGCTGGAATAATGCTGACCAGGTATTAAATTCATGCAAAATACACAGCGACCAAAGAGATTAGAAATTGAGTCACTGAACCAGGAAAAGTGCTGAGGAGCTGCACAGGCAGATCGCAGCCAAAAAAACCTCAGCCCAAAATGAGATAAAAAAATATCCAAAACAGAGTAAAAAGTTAAAAAAGCCTGAAGTCGGCTAAAATTGAGCATACCAGCTTTTTGAATGTTTCAGAATTTGTCTGTCAATATATAAGACCGTAATGAGATCATTCACATGTCTATACAAACTCTGCAGTACATAAGCATTTCCTTCCTAGAGGCATGCATTAAACAAGGATCCCATCCTGYTGGATATAGCATAAACATGTTCAATACCACCCTTTCCCCCCAAAGCTCATTTAATTCCAATCTATGGAGTGCTTTAAGCAAAAGACTGGGCTTATTTTGTGTTGGTTCACTGAATTTGCTCAGGATCCTTGATTTCCTACAACCTTAATGCAACATGTGTTACTCACAGCACAGATGCTGGGGCAGAACATATATAAACTCACTTTAATATGGCAGTTTTGAAAGTTTTAGGAAGGGTCAGACAGAAAGAGATAGAATTGGTGAAATGTTAGAGAATATGTATTTTTTTTTCTATTTTCTTTTCTTTTTCTTTTTCTTTTTTTTTTTTTTAAATAAATGAAAAGCTTTGATAAATCTTTCCCTTTTCCACACATCCCAGTGGGGGAGGTTGGAAAAACTGGAATACCTCAAAATTACCCTGTCCTATGAATCTGAATCACAGGAGAAGATGGAAATGCTAAAGAGCAGTCCTCAGAAAGAAACAGTGGAAACGGAAATTCCTCAGGATATTGTTCCCAGCATAATTTTGCTGACTGAACATATTTGGAGGTATGTTACAGGATTTGAGGACAAAGAGAGGGAAAGGTAGGAATCAGGGCTTGAATTCTTTGATTTTACTCCATTTGCAGCAAAGAAGGGCCAAAGAGGAGACTCCATTTCTTGAAATGCTATTGAGGAACTTAGTTTTCCAGAAAAAAAAAAAAAAATTAGACAACTTTCAGCCCCTTTTCGGCATACATTTCCTTCTGCTGTGGACTTTTCCAARAGTCCAGATCCTACTACAGCTAAAATATCCAATTATAGTAAGAGRTACTTGCAATAGAGGTTATTTCGATAGACGTAATACCCCAAACTAAGCTTTTAAACCATCTGTTCATCCCTAAAACTTGAAAGGAAAGAGAACATATTTCACTACTACGTCAGTGAAAAGTAAGATAAATGCTATTTAAATGCATGTACAGCATATGTTCTTTCTTCTATGCCACATTCATCTGTAATACTTTACTCATTTTACTGGAGATACAGATAAGTGGAAAAGAGTAAAGAACACCCTACCCTGCAAACAATCSGCTCCCCAAAGCCTAGTTTTCTGAGCACAGGTAGTTTCAGGGGAGACTGGAAGGATATTGAAACCACAATTAAGACTTGACTATAGAAATTCTACTAATCTATTCCTTGTCACAAGTCTCCTTCTTGGTAGTTCTCAATAAGAAATGGCTTCAGTGACATGGACTTGGTGGAACTGGACAGATTGGGAAGAGGACCTCTYTAATGACAGCTTTATCCTAAGATAAAACGTGTATTACTATCAAATTCCCCACCGTCACCCACCGTGGTTAGAAAACAGAAGAGAAATAAGCATCATAGATGTCACTGCAGAATTAAGTTTTTCACTACCAGTGCTTTTCTGATGTCCTACCACAGCATGAGCCCAGGACACCAGTTATGAAAGAAGACTACATAGAACAGACCAATTCCTTACACACACAAGGGCAACTCTTGCCTAGACGAAGCAGTAAGGATTAGAGACCCAAAATGCATTTGAGACTGTGTTCTCTATCTGCCTGGTGCAACTTTCCTTCTCCTGATACCTGACAGAGACAGCATGCTAGTTCTGCTTCTGATGGAGTCTGATACATGAGGTGGGTGCTCAGAGATGGTTGCTCTTCCCTAGTTCCAAGGTCTTTGCAGACCTCTAGTTGCAAGAGGAATGTGTGACTACGTGTGTGCTTCCAGTGCGTACACATTCAGATTCACCAGGGCTCTGGAGGAGCCATAAGTGCTGCATTAGCTGAGGACACTGAGGAAAGCCCTGCAAAACACACTTAATTTGTTTGTCTAAAACTGATCTCTAGGCTATATCACTTTAGGTTTCTCGAACCATTAACATCCCAAATCACTTGTCAGTTTTGAACATGTATGTTGATAGGATGAAGGAATTCGATTGCCGTCACTGCAGGGAAGCAAAAGTTTCTTTGAGTCCTGATCATTATTTCCCCAAATCTGCAGGCTCATAATCTGTATGTAATAGCTCTGCTAGGAGTTTTAAAAACAAGCTGCCTCCTGGCTACGCATGCCGAGATCTGTGCATGCTGTTTGGAAATGCTTCAGCAGTCTCCGATTTATTTGAGGAATGCTCTGCTTTTAGTTTTTGGCATTGTCCCTCTTCTCAGGCTGCTCTCCTTATCTCAGTTGCATTCAGAAACTGGTTACTCCTAAGCCGGCCTCATCACTTCCACCTTAAGAAAGGACCTCAGGAAAGAACCTGAAAAGATGCTTGTGTTCATCTCAGCAAGATGTCCAGCTGGACTACAGTCTTCAYGGAGTCAGGTCTTTTTCTTCAGTTGTTGGCTTGCACTAAGCTACCACTAAAAAAAATTAAAATAAATGCAAATAATCAGAATTCATCTGTTGTATCTGAAAGACTTGCAGAAAGTGAATACAGGGAAGATAGGAACTCGCAAGAAATAAATGTTTTTTTTTTGTTTAAGAGTTTTTCTTAGAAGAAATATAATGTTATTATGTATTTCTAGCTTCACTTCCCATCTGTTCACCTCCCAAAGTGACATTTAAGAGTTGAGTTTTACTGTGCTAGAGGCATCAGCAGCACTGGATTGAGTGGATCAGATTCCAGACTGACTCTAAAGCTACTCAAACCTTGCCTAAAGCTCAACTCTTATTTGTTTTTCTATAAGAGAGGTGTCTTGATCTCYAGAAATGCTGGCATCTGCCCTTTTCTTGTTTGCATCTCTTTCTCACTCCATTTTTGTGATTTTCTTCCCTTTTCTGCAGCTTGGGAGCAATGCTAAAGTCTGTAATTAACCCCTCTGTGTACTTGAAAGCACTYGGGTGAGGTGGAGGGTTCCTCCAGGAAACCAAAGGAAAGCAGCATGATTTAGTGAATAGGTACTTTATTGGGAAACCAGAGATTCAGTGCTGGTGCTACCTTTGCCTTATCAGTTTTCCTCCTCTGTAAAGTGGGAGAGGAATTAGGAATTCTGTGCCTTCTTTGGAAAGCTTTTGTGACCAGAGATCATTGCAGAAACCCAAATTCTGAGTTTTACTGCATGCACACATCTGAGTCCTACAATTACTTCYACAAACGTTTGGTTTTACGGGCTAATGATACAATTAGGAAGAGTGGAGAGAGAGAGAGAAAAAATAAAATAAAAAAGGAAGCRGCCACCCACACTGCTTCTGTCTCTTTCTTTCTGTCTCCCACAGTGGCAGGGCTCTGGCAACATTTTATAGGTCTGTAATTTCCAGGAAGTTTACATACCATGAAAGTAGAAGTGATAAAATATGCAGTTTAATTGAAAAAAATAAARAAGTACTAATCTCACTAATGTGATAGATTAACACTGTAAATGTGCAAGGCTCCAAGGTGGTTACACAGATTTAAAATAAATTTTCCTTTCAAGTGTCTCTAACCAAACTCATATTTTATGCTATTCTAGACCTTGCAATTGACTTCTATTTGTTTTATTTTTATGAATTATACTCTAATATTGTCACAAGGGATTCTCTTACTCTATGGATCCCTTTCATCAGACAAGGTTCCTATTAGTTTCTCTCAGAATTTGTGTCACACTAGGCTGCTTTGGTGGCTGCAAGCACTATCATGTCACACCAGGTTGTGGTAATAGCTCAAGCTGGAATTTACCATTTGTGCAGAGGGCCAGCAGCACTCAATATGCTGAAAATCTGCTGAAATACTCTGCATGGAGAACACAGTATCAGAGGGGAGAGTTCTGCCTTGCTCCTGTAAGATGCTGGTGACCCAGCTCACCTTCTCCACACACTGCTCTCATGAAAGGGCTTTGGGTCAGGAGATAATTCTCCTCATCTATGTGCATAGATCCCGACACAGAGGTCCTTAGACCATGTTTTAATACATATTGATAAGGAATTTGTGAACAAATAATAGCTAAAAATATGACCATAAAAGATAATCCCTTTCCCAGAAAATATTTGGCAGACTAGTTCAGTATTGGGAAAATCAGCACAAGAATTTTCACAGTTTTTCTAGAATATTGGTTAAACGGTTACTGTTTATGGTGGTTTTTACTCCAGAGTAACTCTAATATGGACCTCCTTAGATAAGTGCTGGCTGATTCTTCTGATCACAAGAACCTCTTAGCAAGTCCAATACAAATACTCAGAGTTTGGGGTGGAGGGAAGACTTATCTATTAATCCTCGACAACATCTCAGAATCTAAGTTGCTGATTAAGCCAGCTAAGGCCCTTTGATCAGTCACTGGCTCAAGGAAGAAGCCTATGGAGCAAGCCTATGGAGCAGTGCCCCCTTGACACCAGCTCTGATCAAGGTTTTGTGTGAACAGCACAGCACAAACCAGCTCCTGGGGAAATCTTGGAGTCCTGTGCATGACAAGAAAGGGAGAGAGATGAAAAAAATGACAAGAAAAACCTGCAGCAGCTGGAAGGATGCACTTTGTCCTCAAGCTCATCATTAGCGTGACTGATACCGGAGGACACTACTTCCTATGTTGTTTCATGACTAAGGACCATTTCTTCACAGAAATCTTTCCTTTATTGATTTTTAGTCCTGAAGGCCCCCAGCCCCACAATCCCCCAAATTCCGGCAAAACTTTCAGACCCCACCATCCCATCTGTTCATGATGTACTTTRTGTCCACAACCAGGACATGCTGTACTGCTACGAGAATTGACTTAGGGGGCTGAAAATCCTCCACGCATCTCAGATCCACTGTGYGCTCATTCTATTTTAATGCTTGCAAAGAGGAAGAGAAAAAAATCTAAACATCTTTTTGCAAATGTTAAGCTATTAAACTAGCAAATGATTTGAGACAAGAGTAAGTATACAGGGTCAGCTTCTCTTTCAAACACTTCTAGGGTACATTATGTGTAGCATGCTTCATGCAAATACCATGGCCTTGAGGTTTTTCCTTGTGGCTTTGTTCATTCTCTCATTTCTGCAAGGAGGCAGGAGGAATAAATAGATGTTTTTATCACCACTTTTTTGCTTTCAGAAAGTTCACATATTGCATTTTTGACATTATGTAAATTAAAAATCACCATGGCATTACCTGAAATAAACTATTATATCACTCCTTTCACGCTGCTCTAGTTAAGATACTGTCAGCACTTCCATTACTAGCCCTTATTTCAAGGAGTTTCAAACTTTGTGATGGAGAGGTAGGGAAAAATATTTTTGATGGAAATTTATTATAAGTTGCCAGCCTAGGGAAGAAATTTATGCTCTTCAGATTTGAGGAAAAAAAACATCTAAAACCAAAAGACTTATGTCTATTTTATTATTTAAATGCAATGCAATGATTCACCTTCAAGAAGTTTGGACATTTAGCCTTACCGAAGACATTCTGAGTGCTGAAGACTCAGCTGGGAAATTTCACAGAAGTTTGTAGAAACTTTTCGATCTAGAAGTGGGGCACAGTGTGGAAAAGTGATCCAGTTATAGCAATGCATTTCCTACAGAATTAGCCCATTAGTTCAAACAAAGCTATCTGAAGCTGATTAGCAGTATAGATCAACATTTGTGTTAAGAGTTGAGCTGTCCCAGAAGTCTGACTCTGTGYGATTTCTCTGACTGATTCTAATCCTGTGGATACTCACTGGGCAACTGTGGGTCAATCAGCAATTGCCACATCTGTGTGTCACCCCAACTCTAGGAATTGGGACAAACTTGTCCTTCTCACTACCTTGTTCTGATTGAACACAATACCCCTTCCAGCRAGCAGGACCCTGAGTTTTCCACTACTCCGGCATGCCCGCATATGCCTGTATGTATATTTACACATAGCAGACATGAAGTGTTTTTCTATTTTTCAGAAACAGTTCTGCAAAGAAGAGTGTAAGTTTGTTCTGTGTCAAGTAGGGCAATGAGTAATGGGCTGAAATTACAGCCGGGGAGATTCAGCTTGAGTACTCCAACTTCCTAATGGCAGCAATAGTTAAGCAAGAGAAGGAAGCCCAAGAGGGCCTGGAGAATCCTACTCAGGGAAGCTTTGAGCACAGCTTAGACAAATGCCTAGCAGACGCAACCACTTGGATACTCCTGGGGCAGGGGATTATATCTTGATTTCCTGTGGAGCCCTGTTTCCTRTAATACTTTGGAAAGCCTTTAAAAAAAAAGGCAGAATATCCATTTTGACAGCATAGATGCTATTCCGGATTCCTCGGTGCAGTTGCTCAGGGATGAGATGCGGCACTCGGTCTGTCTCCTCTAGATCCACGTGCCAAAGCCATTAGCAGCCCCAACCTGCAGTCAACCTACAKGTTGACTGCAATCTCCAAACCCGCCAAGGGCAAGCAGTACACGGGGGCAGGCCTTAGAGGGTTAGTTACTCTCATCAGCTCGTACCTGGGGATACRACAGGCTTCACAGGGAGGCAGCACCATGAGTCATAGCAATATTTTTTTGTTATTAATAAAGTCTTCAGCAGGTGAAATGGAGCCCCTTGCCACTGGCTGCGGTGAGGATTTCTGCCGACTCACTGCTAATGCATCTGCATTCCCCGTCGACGAGGGGATGAGAGCCCAATTTGTGAGCYGCAGGAAATTTTGCAGGCAAAACGAAAACAGCCAATTTCAGGCTTTGTTTAGAAATATTTGCTGTGCTTCCTGCTGCTGCAAGGAACTAGGAGCGGGGGAAAAAACCCAAACAAGAATTCAGTCAGCTGCTTCTGAGGCATTCATTTCTCTATCTGGGGTATGTATATGTGAAGAAAAAATAAAAATACAACTCAAAAACTTTAGGGTACACAACTAGTATAAGTCACAAAAGCAAAATGCCCCCATGAATTGCAGGTGGGGGGGATCCAAAAATGTGCAAAGGAAAACCCAGTGCTTTCCTCAGCTGCTGCTTTGCTCTGCAAGCCCTACCTCCCTGCTCATATCCTTCTTGTCTGGCCTATCTCACCCTAGGCCCTAACTGAGCCCCCATGCTGCTGCCTTTCCTTACTTCTCTCCCAAGAGATTGAGATGACTCCTCTTGGTTTTCAGCTCTGAAGGACCAGAGAGTGCCCAGTGTGTCCAGCAGGACACTGTTCATAAGCAGGCTTTTGATGGAAGACACTGTTCGAAGTTTAAAGTGGAATGGGTGGGAATACAGCCCTCATTTGATGTGGAARAGATGCACAAACTAGGAGGCATCTTGTGTCATATGGCTGGAGAACRCATGTTATATCTGGCATTGCTTATAGTTAGCATGTGTGAAGCACCGTATCTTTTAAATTGATTTCAGGTGGGATAATTCTTTAGGTCTGCGCATTTCTCAAGACCTTTGATTCTATGCATAACCCTTAAAACCCAATGAGTAAAGCAAATATTTTCTTCTCCCAGCATCAAACATCTGCCTTCACATGCACAGCGCCTTACAAGAGAGGAACCTATCATTCAGAACTACAGCTACAATTATGTTCCTACTCCTTTGAGTATTTTAGATAGATTTGTTGTTCAGATTATGGACTGTATTTTTCATCATCTTTCCTCCTTTTTCTATCACCTTCAGCTATAATGCTGGCAAGTCCAGGGAGACACAAAAGGGAGTCTTTTTTTAAAAAAAAAGTATATAAGCCCATATATATTTTTCTTTTTTGGATGTTTCCCTTAATCATATCTTGAATTAATGCAGGGCTTGTTCATTCCGAGCTCTCATTACCCTCTTAATTAACTGTGCACAGATGGAAAAAGTCAGAATTGCTTCACTTGAGTTGTTCTGCTAGTTTTAAAATGAGATGGCAGATGGAGGACAAGGCAGAAAGGGCTCAGCTCAGAGGTAGGAGACAAGTTTTCAAGCTGTCACAGAAACGTCAACAAACGCTCCATCTGTTTATGAGGAGTACTAGGCAGAGGCAGCTTTAAGTGCCATCCACAGACACGAGTTCAAAGAATTCCAAACAATTAGCAGAAAAAATGAAAGTTGCATTTTCAGTTTGAGATTTACCAGGACATTGCCAACTTGTATTGCCGACACTGGATTCAGTAGCAAGCCAGCATATTCCCAGCATGGCCACAGCCAGGATGAGCTCAGGATCCTCAGGGAGGGTGTTAGTTTGCTAAGGCAGACATCTCTATATCACAAGATACAAGTCTGGAGAGGAAAAAAAANAAAAAAAAAAAAAAAAAAAAAAAAAAAAAAAAAAAAAAAAAAAAAAAAAAAAAAAAAAGAGAGATGCTCCCAAAGGCCCTGAATCAAGCAAATCTCCCGAGATTACTGTATTATCCTCAAGGAAACTGCTAGGAGCCTAGTCCGCGAGAACATGAGCTCACACAAAGAAGTCCTTGGCTGAGGATCCTCAGATTAAGGCCCATGCTTGATTGTACCTGTGCACATCCTCTGGGACCAGGTTTAGAGAAGTTTTCTAAATATAAAGCATAGGATGCAAAGGAAAAGTTTGGAAAGTCTGAGCAACCAAGTGCAACTGAAGCTACATATACAAGGCAATGCAAATAAGAAAAACTTTAGCCTTTTGCTTCCACAAAAAATGCCCTGCCTAAACTGCTCCAATGGGTTGCGAAATTGTACTCCTGTCAAAAGTAACGCATACATGCTCACCTTGAATCTATAGCATTACCTTGAATGCTCTAGCATTACCATGTCATGGGTATAAGTAATATAGGATATTGTAATATGGTGTTGGCTATTTAAATAACTTCAGAAGCAAAAGAACACTTATTCCTTAATACACAAGCCAACTTCTGTGAACAGTGTACATCTGCAGCTAGGTCTCACTGATTTATATATGGTTAGTAGAGAGATACTTTAAGCTGAACAGTAGCCATATGGCTTCCACATAGTTTTAAGAAAGCAAAAACTCCCTTTCCGACCTGTACCTCTCACACCCCAAAAACAAACCRAACAAAAACTGTCTGCTTCTTAGGAGACACCTGCTGTTTCTTTTTCCTCAGTAAGTCATGGACAACACTGTTGAGTGATAAGACATCCAAACTGCATACTTCGAGTTTACACAACTTCAGATAAGTCTGGATCTGTCTGAGGTACAGACCTATTGTGCTGCTCTCTTCCTCTCAAACAAATAAACAATAACAAATTATTTCCAACACCATAAAAAGGGCATGTGGCAAGCACTTAAAAGGATTGTTCCTTGTAAAAACCTCAATAGCAAGTTTTCTGTTTCTTTTTGATACGGTATATACAGATGAAACCCCAGTTCCCCTTCCATAGCACATTTTTAGCTCACCAGAGATCCACATTTTGAAATTAGTTTTGCATAGAACTAGCTGAACCTTTAAACATTTTAAACCCAACAGCAAGGGGTATCCATAYCCATGAAGTACCTTGGTGAATGCATTGAACATTATCTACTGGTTGAAAGAGAAGATTAGAGTCAGGCTACCTGGTCCTGGTCAAARTTTGCTCCATAACTTTGAATAGTCATATATTGCCCCTGTCTGGGTATCTACATCAGTGTTTTGTTTCAGATAAAATATATTTTGATTCTCAAGCTTCCCTCGTCACTGCACTTCATTTTACACAGTGGAGCAGGCYTGGCACCCTTGAATTGGGTTACTTTTGGATGAAACATGCTCCTAATGGACTTTGAATACTAAAGGAACACTCAGCTGTTTGCCTAGACTAGGGAAAAAGCTGAAGTAACTCCCCTAAAATGCTTCTAGCCTGGACCCCGGGACCTGAGCACCAACTGCCTTGTTCTGCACATCTGTTTCTACAGGACCATACTGCTTGCCAGTAYAGATAGGGCTCTATTCAGCTTTATTTAGCCCTCCCTTGTGCAAATGGCAGGACATTATTCCTAAGCATGCTGTGAATTAAAAGGGGCTATCTAGTGAAAAATTGAACAGAATCAGTGAGATGCAGTTTTCTTTTGGTACGGATTGTCTGGACAGCCCCAGACATCTCKTGTCACATGGCTGGAGTACGTATGTCATATCTGGTGTTCCTTGTAAATGGAGAGGGCAGAATTAAACCCGTTCCTCTAAGCTACTCAATGGTTTTCAGCAGGCTGTGAAGATACACATGCCCAAGGGGAAACCTGCATCTCAGCTTTGCCTTCAAGACTATTTTTATTCAGTATGTCTGAGCCCCTAAGTACCATCAAGCCCATCAAGTGATGCTCAGGCTGTAGAGCTAAGGGCTACAGGGAATAAGAGCATACCAGGCTATAAAGCTTTGTCAAGAGCAGACCCCCATAGGTGACATTAGGACACTACAGCTGCCTGCAGTTCATCAGAGAGGAACCCAGAAGTGTCCAAGGCCCTGCCAGAGAAAAGGATATGAAAAATATTTTTTCCCTCCCAACTGCTGCCCAGTAAGCTTAAAAGGCACAAACCTCAAAGACTTTTCTGTAAGAAAAAAAGCAGTAAAGGAAAAAAGTACAAGCAGCCAAAGCTAAGCTCTGTTCATGCTTTCAGGCTGACAGGAGAGCATCATTCCCACGGGCTTCTTATCAGAGCATCAGTTCCCTCAAGGTCACAGATCAGGGTAATTACATTGATAGGCACAGTTCTTGCTCATTTGTAGTTAGGTATGTTGGCTCCTCATTTTCTGCTTTAAATATGGGAAGAGCATCATCATCCCATAGCACCTACACCTTGCATTTCAAAGGCACAGCATGTAGTCTTGGCATACCTGAAGTCATAAAACACTTCATGTGGGTCCTAAATAAGGGCACGAGAAATTAGTGTCCGAGTCTTCTATATTATCAAAGTCTTGTGGAGTCATTAGTTAAAATCCTATGATCCAACCTACAGACACATCAGTATCTGCTGTAACAGTCCTTTCTGGTCTTGTCAAAAATTCCTGAGGCACTCTGGAAACATCAGCAAGGGCTAAAAGGGACACATTCACATCCTGGGAATCCTGCAGTGTTGTGGGAGATAAGCAAATCTAAGCATCCTGGACTGATTTTCGTTTTCAGCAGCTTCCCATGCAGCTCATGAATTGCTCTGCAAACAGAAGTGGCCTAGGCCATGCAATACCGTGCACTGCAGCCTTTGCACATAGTCCATGGTCATATAGCAGTCCTGCAGACTATTCTCCTTGCCTCTCAGAACACTTCATTAGCGTCTACAAGCCCTCAAACTCAGCAAACATCTTCAAGGACGCTCCCYGCAGAAGGCCTCTAAAACGGATCCAAATAAACCTACTGCTAAGCAGACTGCCCCCAAAGTCCACAACATGACAGGGCCAGAGGTCAAAGCCAGGAGGACTCCTTGAAGCTACTCRGTTAAGAGTTTCCTTCACGAGCAAGCAGAGAACAGTGTCAGTTTTAGAATATTCTGCCCCCACATTTCTCTCATTTTTTTTTCTGTTTCTAAAACAGGTACTTAAATCATCCCAATGAATAATAAGGATGCTCACCAACCCAATTTAAGGCAATTTCCATTTCAGTCCCAGTATCATCCTCAAACATACTTTTTCCTTTGTCTGTGGAATGGCCTGTTCTGCACAGCACCTTAAATAGAAAGTGCTATGCTAGCTAAATGCTGCCTTTCAACTATTACAATAAATATCTGACAGTGAAGAAAATAAGAAAAGAGGCAGGCGGGGACTGATCTGCCTTGTCATATGCTAGCAACTTGGCACTGAAAGCTTTGTCAGTCCATTAGCTGCTGTTAATTTCCTTGTTCTGCATGGCAAAGGTGGCCATAATTGGTGGAGCTGCTGAAAATATCACATAAATGGGGTGATTCACACTCAGAACTGTCACTGTAATAAGATCCCATTTAGGAAATATCCTCTTCACCTAAGGAAAGAAAGGAAGCCTCAGAGCCTGCCCTCCTCCTGTTTTCTCTTGTTGGAATGCACGACCTGTCAGCATCAAACAGGAGCATAGATCTGTCCATCTCCGAAGAGTGCTTATAATTTGAAAAGGACATCAAGTCTGATGGCCCATAATCAGCTCAGACACAGTATTTTGTTTATTATTTTGCAGGACTTTGCAGACCGGACAAAAGCCAGGAAACAGATAATAAAAAGCAAGTATAAAATGCTAGCCATTTTAGCATGTGCACAGGCATGTATGGGGCTGAGAAAATAGACATGAAAGAAATATGCAGAGTTGATTTGGGGAGGGACACAGGGTCAGGTTGTTTGTCCCACAAGTGCTCACTGTTGCCAGAGCTCTGGAGAGGTGAACTGTAAAGACCTGTGCTTCACAGGGACTTGGAAATGGCGAGGAAACACCTTCATCGAAGAGGAGAAAGGTTCTTTTAAATTGATTCAAACTATGCACAGCTGGAATGAAGAGTCTAAAGAGGAGTGTTTATTTCTTTGATGCAGTTCAGTATCGATAGGGAAAAAAGACCCAGTTCTTTACTTTTGGACAAATCCTAATCTGCTTGGGTATGATCGCAGATGTTAGCAAGTTTTGTTGGAGTTCCCATAGTTGTTAAAGCAGAGTTGATTTCCTTCAGGAGTTTAAAAATGAAATCTTTACTATATTTGAATCAGATTGAGAAAGMCAGGGAGAAGCATAGGGATGGGATTTCCCTTGGGCTATTAGCCATTGCTCTACTCATAATCAATAGCCCTATATTCATTTCCCAAAGCTGAAAACTGCCTGCTCTGCACTAGGGTTGCCTAATATGAATTTCTGCCCAGAACTCTGCCCCCCAAATTACTAGCTTAGTGTTTTTTTTAGCTTTTCCATTGAGACAGTTTCTGCTAAATTAATTAGAAGTGTTTGATTCACATATGGAGCTTAAACTCAGTTAGGTGCTTGACAACTGAGGCATAGGCAGCTTGGGACTCTTCCATGCTCACAGCCTAGATTCTTAATAACCCAGGAAAGTTACTAGAATGTCCCTCCCTTCAGGCACATAATAGTTGCTGAGCAGAAATCTGTAGCTGGCTGGTAGGTAGCTGCTCATTAATGTATCTTTGATCAGTTCTTGAGATAAACAGCTCATTAATACATTTCCAATAATCAGAAGGGACAAGAAATACTTCCACCTTCAAATATTTTCTGTGGATCAAATAGGAGATTTCAACATGCTGAAAGGACTCATCCCATGTGTGTAGGCAGAAGCCCAAGTRTACACTCAGCTTTCCACTTCACTTCTGCCCAAATTTAAAGTGCTATTAACAGGAACCTTAAAAAAATGCAGCAAATCAAGTCATCCTGTAGGATCTCTAGGTGTAGCTCCAGTTCCTCCTGAAAKGATAACTAGGGTTATGTGGAGTAGAAAAGATGGCTTTTCACCTTCCGACTCTGGACTAGTTAGTTGATATCTGTCATTGAAATGGCTGATTTTGAGCGTTCTGCACCTGTGCTTCCTAAAATATTTACTCAGTGTCCACTGGAGCAGTCTGCAAAGCCATCAGCAATAGCTCTAATCTTCTTGAAGAGCTTGACTGAACAGTGAAATGAAAGACTTCAGTAAAGTCTTCAAATAGTTGAAGAGATTAATCTCTTCAAGTGCAAACACTTCTTGACTCAGCAGTGAGTTGGGGTGGGGAATGAGGCTGGTCTCATTTATTTATTAAAAACCAAACAAACAGAAAACCCACCACACTCACAACAACTGCCACTTTTCCCCTGATTAATCTTTACAAAGACACACTCTTGCAATGATATGGTAGGAAAACCTAGAATCATGGAAAAAAAGCTAACCTGCAGATCTGTAACGTAAAGAGAAGGGCAGTACATTTGTTAGCTCTTTACCCAAGCACACATTTCCTGAAGTAATGAAAAGCTTTCCTAGAAAACTGAACATACAGGGCAAGGTCTCTCAGTGAACTCCAGATGCCTTTTTACCCTCCCTCTCAGCCAGGCACTTTTGTAGACAATATATATGGGCAGACTTCTTTTCTTGGCTACAGTAGAAAGTAATTGATGAAGAACATGCTACCCTTTGACTACATGGGTCCAGCCAACAACAATTCAGTCAACCTCCTGAAGTTTGTATTGTTACTTTCTTTGAGAAACAAGGCTCATGTCAGCCTTGCCCATCTCCCAAGAGCCTGGAGCTTCTTTTGAGCCAGAAGTGGTACTAATTACTGCAGCACAGGTCCAGGCAGATGAATAACTTAAAAGAGAAACCCTCCAGCTCAGCAGTACACTTCAACATATAGAAGTATCAGCTTCAGTAGATCCAAAACATGCATAGCACATCAACTGTGATCAAGTGCTTTGCTGCACATTAATATTACTGTCTAGGGAATATTGCGTGACCAAAGCAACACTCTCCAACACCTGCAACTCAATGGAATACAGGAAATTAAGACAGCAAGGGACACTAAGGAGAGCAGAGTGCTCCAGAAAATATTTTGAACAACCTAAGCTTCCCATCATTGCCTAGGCGAACATGTGCCTCAAGTATTTTGATAGGCAATGCTCTGAATTAAGGCCTCCAACATGGTGCTAACAGGTAGATCTTTCATTGCAATAACTAGATGGAGCCAAGGAAAGTAAAAATCTAGCTGGAAAACAAGTACAAGTACTGAAGATTAATGCATCTTTTAGCTAATGAGCAGGTTTAGCAGACACTATAACAGAGGAAGAGAAAAAGAGGTCAGATGAACAGGACAGGAGTTTTGACAGGAACTGGTAACAAGGGCAAGCCAACACAGAGTTATTTTGCTCCCGTTTAAGAGCCACAACAAAAGCAGGCAGTGAAGGAAAATCTGCCTTTTGTAGGGTTATTGACCTCTCTTCCACAAAACCTCCTTGTTTTGGCCAAGATGCCTACAACTCTGTATTACATTTGTGTATGCTTCACAAATTGTTATGTTTTTATGAAAATTTGAGAAAAAGCATCACATCAAGAAAAATCCCACTTCTCATTAGGGGGAGATGACATAATGAAACATAATCAGGCCCCACATCTCTGTCAGTAATGTCATAATTTTGTTTCTTAGGATTGTTCTAGAATATTTATTTTAATACACCCTTCTCATTTACAAGGAGYATTTATTATCACAAGCAATCTCAGTGCTATGTCACTAATAGTACTTAACATTTTTGACTCTTCTTAAAGTATACACAAAACCAATTCCTGAAACATTTAGTAATTGAAYCATCCTTATCCAATAGTATTTTCTACTTTTGACAATCTGCAAGGATAAGATACAGCCTCCGAGTTTTACTCATTCCCCCTCCATTTTAAAAGTGAATTGCAATTCAGTTCTACTGAAAAGTGCCAGATTAAGAGTAGAGTGATAGATGATATGCTATAAAACAGGTAACAGCACAAAACTCACTYTCCCCTCCCACCATGCAGACAGCAGAACATACAGGAATCTACAGGCACTCTTTAAATAGTTTGACTTTTCTACTTGTTCTGTCTTTTCACAGTATTCCTTTAACATAAGCCAAACATAGCTTCAGGATACAGGTAAGCAGAAGGAACATAAAAATCATAGAATAATTTAGGTCAGAAGGGACCTCTTCAGATCACACATCCAACCCCTGTCTCAAAGCAAGGACGACTTCAAAGTTATACTAGGTAAGCTGACAACAGTGATTATTTAGGACCCCTGTGGTCTGCCTGCATAAAGAGAGCTCAGGCTGACTCGGTTTATCCTGCCCTCAGTCTTGCTCAAGTCAACTCTCTGTCCCAAGRGACTACATCTTCTCACAGGCCTAAACACACTCTCTCCAGTCCAAAAGAGCACTATTTCCTGCATTTCCCAAAGGGCTTTTCAAGTTCAGGCAACTATTTCAGAGCAGGGGGTAACAGAGGAAGGAAGACTCTCACATGCAAAGTCAGCAGGCAAAGCCAGACTACCACTGAGGCCTCACACAGCACCTCCCAGGCTGCCACCACCTGAGCATATATCCTTAATCCATRAAACACCTGTGTTACATAAGAGAGAATCTTTCCATCAACTAGCATATTTTCCAGTTAAAATTTGGCAGAAAAAACCATTGTGTCTTACCTGGTCATAGACATTGGTCACCACCAGCTGAGGACARACAGGAACCAGGCACTCCCAAGCGGAAAAAGCTCTGCAGCCAACTACAAAGCTCCCCTTTAGAGGTGGCAAGGCTTGGTGCCTTCCCCTTTATAGGAAAGAGGCTAATCTAATTAGCACCTGAAAACACCAGAAATGAGGTCACTTGCTTCCTGTGTAAGGCTTAATTTTATATAATTTATTTTTACATTTTCTAATTGAATGAATATTAATTAACTGGAGTTTAATGCAGAAAATGAAGACATTAAACTCTCATTAACAAACACCAAATCCTGTTCATCCCCAAACACTTCACATCTGCAGCATTAAGTTATCAAAGAGGAAAAAAACCCTGCAGTGATTTATTTCGTTTTCCGGTGGAAAAGGAGAGGCAATGAATCTGCTTTATCAGCTAATTATCTGCAGCATGACACGTGGATTCCTCAAGCACCTGGAGATGGGACATGGGATGCCATGAGGCACCGGGATGCAAAAGCTGCTTTATTTCCTTGCATGCAGTGCCAGTAGGAGAGATTTGCACAACCTAGAGCTGGGCGATAGGAGCAAATTTGCATGATGTACGGAGCTGTGCAAAACCCCTGAGTGGCATAGTAGAGATGCACACAGCATCTGAGCACGATATGAGTGTGGAGCATCTCTGTCAAAGGCAAGGGATGGACTTCAGAAGAGAGTCAATCATTCCGGGTTTAGCCTGTGCTATCCAAACTCCACACGTTATTTATTAGGGCCACAACCACAAGYGGAGGTGAATATCGTGGAACTGTGAGCCCATTCGTGGCTCACCCATGTATTTGGCACAAGGGTTATTTCTTCTCCAGCATGACACGGATGACAAAAGGCATTAACTCACTTCCCAAGCACCCARGCTTCCCCCATCTGCTAAATCCACGGCAGCTCATAGCAAGATCACGGCTGGTCCAAGCAGAGCTCCCAAGCAGAGAAAGCTCTAAATGAGTGGAGGGAGGAGGCCAGGCTGTTAGCAGGGACTCCCGCAGCTCTCCGGCAATCACCCTGCCTGCCTGGGAAGGGAGTCGTGTCAGATGCTTCACCGGTTCAATTTGCTTTAAATATAAACACAGGGAGATGTCACTCTGCTTCAGAAAATGGAGCATCACTGGAATGTACTGAAAGTATCCCCTAAAGTTATCTAGTGATTTTAAAGTATTTCGTTCTTGTCATGTCATTTATAGTTTAATTAGTGGCAGGTTGTCAAGCAATAACTGTAATCTATAGATTTATGCACTGGAGAAAAATAGCTACTTCATTCTTAAAGCTACAGAGCAGTTTCCCTTTGGTCTCCTCGAGCTTGTGGTTGATGGTGTTGCTATCTGCTGATAGCTCCCTAAAGTGTCACCTGTTCCTTTAAACATGTTGATATAAACTAAATAGCACATCTTCAACACATTTTTTTTTTTCTTATTTACTGTAGGTTTTACATTTCAATAATTTTTTTCATTTTTTTTCTAATAGAAATCTTTTCTGAATATGAAACATGGATTTGCAGCTGAAAATAAACAGTATATTAACAGGGGTAAAAATAATATAACATAAATTTTGAAAATAGCCTAGAGAAGTAAATCTGAGAAGCTRAAACTAGAGGTGATGGGGGAAAGACTGAAAAGCTTAGGGAGAACACCAACTAAGATGGTGAAATCTGTTTTATATCAACAGGAATTCAATAAACTGGAGTAGACTCACAAAAAAGGAAACCTAGACATTGGGTAAAAAAAAGGGCAAAGGAAGGCCAGCCACAGCACCCTGAAAATATATTCCAATTGAAGCAGGAAATTGAGCTGTTGATAACAAATAGGAAAGTAGCACCCAAACAATAACAGACTGTGACATCTGGGAACCTGTAAATGCAGAATTCCTCTGTTGTGCTCTTTTGGACAGGATGAAGTGTATCAGCAGTTTAACCAGACTCCAGATTTACTGACAAAACTATCTGCTGTCAAACTCAAACAAGGATCAGAAATACAATGAGAAAAACAATTCCTGGTGAGAGCAGGGAGATGGACCTGACAGCAGTGATGGGACTGGAGTTGGACATGTCCTAGGGTGAACTTAACCTCACCTTYTCCTTAATGCGAACATTACAAGGAAGCCAAAGGGCCTTTTAAACACCAAAGTCAYGTTATATTTGAACTCAGCCGGGAAGTTTTTTTTTTGAAATGGAGAAGCTCTGATTTATTACAGCTTAAAAGAGGTTGGAAATGATCTGTCTTCAGGTGAGCTCTCACTGCTAGGAGCTGGGCTAACTGCACTGGCACATCCCTACACCCACAGAAGAGCCCTGGCCTGAGTGTCCCTAGCAGGGTTCAGCTTTCTATCCCCAAACTAGGATGCTGCAGCAGGAGCTGCCCAGCCATGCCCTTCTCAYAAAGCAAAACAGACAGCGTGCAGAAAACAGGAAAAAAAAAATCCAACAACCGTCTGATATGTGTGGACAGCATCACACCTAGAAAATCCAATAGCTACTGACTTTTGTAGCTAGCCAAGTGTGAGCGGTGTGATGGATGCAGTGAAAGGAGACAGATGGTTGGTACCCAAGAGCTCCGCATGGATGGCGGAGAATCTGCTCTCCCATTGCAGTTCTGCAGTGGGTATCACAGAAGTAGGGGAAGGGCTGGTGACTCTTGGGGAGAGCCACCTTATCTGAAGGGTCATGGAGCACGTGTGGGGATGGAACTGGCGTTAAGCTCACTGTACCCAGGAATGCTGCTGGCTTAGACTGACACCTCTCACGTATGGCTGCAGTTAAGTGCCTTTCCTGTCTCTCAAAATTGATCTGAGGCTATTAGAAGTGGTCAGACATTTTACATCAGGGCCTTTTTGATGAAAATGGCATTTGTCAAAGTTTCAGGAAATGTTCCTATTCCAATGAAATTCAGAAAAAAAACCCCCACATATCTAGACTGGAACATTTTGATATATTGAAAGATTTTTTGATCTTTCTTGTAATAAAAGTTGCAGTATTTCACTTTGAGGTGGAGTTTCTGAATCCAAAAGATTTAATGTTAAATCATAAGCAGAAATAAGATTTAAAACTAACTCAGAAGAAGATATACCTCTTTGTTCAAAATAAAACATTCTGACCAAATGAAAAGGTCTTGTGTGTAATGTTTCATTGAATGAGAACTAAAAAATGAAACCAAAAGAACTCATCTACTTTTAAATTTATTTACTTTCTTTCAAAGGGAGTTAGTTTCCCATGAAACGGCAAACTCGGTGCCTACCAGGCTCTCTCATCTCTTCTACAGTCAATTCTGTGTCATGATACAAACAGTGGTTCTTCCCTCCTCCTCTATACAAACCAATCTGCTTGGTTTTAATGAAATACAGAACCTAAAAGAGCATTAGCACTGGCAACATAATCCCTGTTCCTGAAAATCACATATTTATAGTCTTCATGAAGCAGGAAGTCCTCCAAGACCCAGGATCAGRTAAGTTCCCATTTCTGTAGATGAATGGAATTTGGCACACATAGAGCTCAACCACAAAAGAATCCACCATATTTCTCAGGTGAGCAGAATGCAAAGATGCAARAAACAGCAAAATGAGACTGAGACCATAAATCACCATGGCTTTTTCCTCCTATGTCCTCTGTGGCAATTTGTGCTGCTGCGTGGGAGTGCAGGGTTTCGGTAGGGTGTTCCTATTCTGATTTGGCAGCTTTGTGTCCTGCTGGTGTAAAAGACTGTTCCATGTGCTGGGCAGTGGAGGATCAACACCACTGTATCTCTGTTTTTTTGCAGGTAAGTCAGAAGAAATTCTCAGAAATAGCGGATGGAAACCAAGCTCGAGCTCTGGCTGAGAGGTTAACGAGTGATCACCCCTGCTAGCTCACAGCGGGGTTGATCTCAACCTTCAGAAGAGATTTTAGAGGAGGAGAGAACAGGAAGCATCCCTGGAGCGGTGGAGAAATAACAAGGGTTGGAGAGAGTTTAACAAAGCAATTGAAAAGAAAATTGAGGGGACACAAGGTGCTGTGGAGCCAAGCAGAATCCTGCTCTTCCTCCATGGATTGAGGGGGGCAAGTTGCAACATGAGGCAATATCATACAAGAGAAGGATGTGCAAGTATGACATGGTACCTGGCTGTGAATGCTGCACCAAATGTAGCAAAAGGAAGGAGACTTTCATGGGAAACGATCATTCTGAATGAATTTGTCTAGGCTCCTTTTTCTAAAGACAAACCTAATGTGATTTTTTGAGAATACAGTTTAATAAAACGTTTCTACAGTTGAGTTTTCTAAGGATGAAATTCACTTCTGAAACTCAATTTTCAAAAGACAAGCAAAAGCAGTTTCAGGTTTTCATGATGAGCTCTTTTTAGCAGAAGGAGGGAAAGTTTTGAAAAAAAACCACCCATCTCTGCCACTAAAATCAAGTACTTAAAAAAAGAAATTAAAAACTCTACTGTTTATCAAGATGCTCTGAATGTTTTCTTATTTAATTTTGTTTTCATGTGACATCTCTCTTCGTCTAAATTTCATCTGCTTTTTCCGCTTAAGTTGTAAACTCTTCACAGCAGGAACAGTTTTCTTATGATGCATTTGTCCAGCACCTCATATGTTGTGAACACTAATGTGATGTGAATAATATATAATGCTCCACTCTCAAACACAAGATAAAGCTCAGAAGCAAAAGCAGATGACGGTGGCTTTGCGACAGTGATACAGAAATTCAAGACAAACCTCACTGCAGCATGAGGTCTCCATTGTGGCTCACGAAAGTAAATGCCAAATGGTCTTATCGTAATATAGAAGATCTCTAAATCATTTCAGCTACACAATTGCYACACATAATGCTCCTAAAAAAAAAGCCTGAAAACCCTCATCTCTATGTAAAAGCGTGGTGCAAAGTTTTATTTGAGTTAGCTCCTGCCAAGAATAGCACAGAGCAGCCTGGATGCAACATCTGCTCACACAGACCGAGAGAAAAACATCTGGCAACAGTAGCTCTTGCCCTTACCTGTCTTTTACCTTTCCTATTTCTCTGAAAAGGTGGAAATAACGTGGCAGTAACGCCTTCT